TGTGTGTGTGTGTGTAGCTGCCCTCAGAGCTTCAGGACATGCTGAACAAACACATGAAGAGCAGTCTCCCGGAGCGAGGCCCCGCCCCTGGCTCTCAGGACCCAGACACGCTCAGTTTGACGCCCGCCGACGTCGTGCCGACCTCGGTCATCGCCCGTGTCCTGGAGAAACCCGAGCCGCTGGTCCTGAACTCTGCCCAGTCCAGCAGCTGCGGCCGGCCCGTCGCCGAAGACGTCTTCGTGCACGTGGACATGACGGGCCCCGGGGGGTCCGAGGGGCGAGGCCGGGAGAACGGCGCCGGTCAGGAGGCGTCGCAGCAGAACGGCTCGTGTCGCAGTCAGAGCAGCTTGGATGAAGAGGCGGGTGGAGCTCCATCTTTCGAGAAGCTGAACCCGTACCCGGCGCCACCTCCACCCCACCCCCTCTACCCTGGGCGCAAGGTCATCGAGTTCTCGTCGGACGACAAAGTGAAGATCCCGAAAAACTCGCCGCTGCCCAACTGCACATACGCCACGAGGCAGGCCATCTCGCTGAGCCTCGTGCAGAATGACGACGAGCGGTTGGCCCCTGGCAGCCCCGCCCCCTCCTCCTCCTCTGGAGCCCAACAGCGCACGCCACCATCACAGAGAGACGCCCCCAGCGAGCCGCTGTCCAGCCAGTCCAGCCCGTTCAGCAGCCCGCCTCAGGTAACTAACTGAAGCCCCACCCACCATCACACCAGTTAAATCTCAGATGCGAGCTTACGATGATGATGATGATGATGTTGTTTTTAACCCCTCCCACTCAGGCACCCAGCGTCCTTGCGAGCTCTGGCAGCTCTGAGGAAGACCTGCTCGCCAACTGGCAGCGGATGTTCGTGGAGAAGATGGCGCCGTCCAGCGACGGCACGCTGCTGCACCGCACGTCCTTCAGTAGCCAGACGGCTCAGGAGCTGCAGAGGAGGAGGCAGGTGGCGGTGGGAGTGGCCTCCTCCTCAGACCGGCACAGGGCGGCGTACTCTGACGGCGAGGAGGGCTCGTCGGCACGCAGCTGGACACCGAGCCGCGGCTCCAGCCTCGACACCGACACCGACACCGAGCAGCGGGTGGGGAGGCGGGGCTGTTACGGCGGCAGGGACTGTTCGGAGGAGGAGGGAGAGCAGCTGCTGATGAACCTGGATGATGACGGCGGGAGCGGGGACACTGCAGTCACCGTGGTGACCAGCCCCGGCGACGCCCACAGGAAGCTGGAGGAGGAGGGCGAGAGCTCAGGGGAGGAGAGAGACATCCTGCCCCACGAACTGCCCGTCATCTCAACCCGTCTGATGGACTTGGACCCCGCCCTCGGCGCCATCGCGCTGCATCGGCCCCAGAAGAGCCCGAAGAGGATGGGCGTGCACCACCTGCACCGGAAAGACAGCCTGACCCGCGCCCAGGAGCAAGGCACGCTGCTGGACTGATGCTCGCTCGCACTGTGCTCCGCTGACCTGACGCCGAGGTCAGAGGTCACACCCATCCAGGATATAGCCATACTCTACCGTATGCCGAGCTTGCCGCCCGACCCGGGTGTGCGCGTGAGACACGAATCACTGTCCACATACTTTTGGTCTGATGACGTGTCGAGAGTGGTGATGATGTAGCAGAGAGGAGACAGAAGTATGTGGACACGTCAATCGTAACGCTCGGCAAACCGTGTGTGCGTGCGCGTGTGCCGGCGTCACTAACTGCGTCCACACAAATCTGTGATTTCTGTTTTCGTACCCGAATCCGTGCGTGCGGTCAGAGAACGCCGCAGCGTCCACGTCACATGTTCAGCACTCAGCCTGACGGTCACTTTGTTTGTTTACGTTTGAACCGTGGTCGCTCCCGTGGAAACACTGTGGAAAGCTCCGCCTCTTCTGGCCTCCTCGGACACTATTATTCAAGTTTCTTTTTCTTCGCCTCAGACACGTAAGCGTGTGTCCTTGGATAGAGAAATGGGGGCGGGGCCATATGTGGATAGTATGCTAATTATATTGCAATTGCGCAGGGCTGGTTAACGGAATCCAGCTGTAATATGGCGCCGTTTAAGAACGTTTCCGTGCAAATATTGGTGAATGAGGCCAATAGAGTTCTGATCAGCTGATTATCAATCAATCATCAGATAATGTCCATCCGTGTGTGGACAGCCTAAACTGAAGTTTGACGTTTCTGCGAATTTGGAAAAGAAATACTTTTGACTGTTTGGTTCTCCA